TATCGCCGCGAGGTTCTTTCTACTGGGTCGAGACCGGAAACGAGGCCCGCGGAGGACCCAAGAAGCGAGAGAGGCAGATGAAGGATATCGAAGATAAGACTGCGAGGGACAAAGGATCGATCCTTTGCGGAATTATATCCCACCCAATTTATTTCTCCGACTTTTTCTCCGTATGTCATAACCATCTTGACGATTCGTTCCCCGTTTTTGCTCACTTTCCCCCTGACCACCTCAGGTTTCACCAGCTTCTCTTGCCTTTGGTCCCTTTTTGTTTCCACTTTAACCGAGTCCAATTTTCTTCTACTCGTCTCGTCTGTTTCTTCCTTCTTCCTTCATAATTTTCCTCATCTTTAATCCCGTTTCCCGAACCGAGTCTGCCTTTCAAAGGAGACACCTTTCGCTGACTGCTGTCATCATTTGCTCTAACTCGATACCTAACTCGCAGGTTCTCCAGGTTTGCTGATATTCCATCTCATTTTTTCTTTGCTACATCCGTTCCTCGACTTTGCCATTCTTCGATTGGTCCATGGTACATCGACCAAGGTTCACTTCCGACGCGATAATCGTGAAGCTTCATCCGTGAGACCGAGGATAGGTCTGCTCGAGTCTAGCTTCGGTGTCTCCACCGTGGGGATGATAGAATTTACGATCTGTCTATCCAGAGAGGGCAGTAAAACCTTCCTGATCCTGGTAGAATCCAGTTCTATTCGACTCCACGGGTGATAGGATTCAAGCGGTACTTAAGATCCGGGTTTGGCAGAATCCAGGACTCGCTTGTCTCTGGGATGACGGAATTCAAAGTTCGGTCACCCCGTTCCAGTTCTGCAAATCGAACTTCGACTCTGTCCGAGGTATACGCTGAGAACTCGACCGAGATCATCCCCGTTTATCATAGAGTCGAATTGTAAACTACCCCGCTTGGCAGCGGAGGAACTTGGCCTCTGGTCAACCCCGGTTACCGGCCGGAACCCGGTTTCGCCACGATCCTGGCCACTGGTTCGTGTTCAAGCTCGAGCATCATTTTCCACCGACTAATTCTTCTAATGTCCGCCAGTGGCCAGTTTGAGGTGTAGCCGCTGGTCTCACAGTGGACGCCCAGCGAATACTTGAGGAGGGTCCAACAGAAACACAAGATGCGCCACTCGTGCTGATCAAGTTTGACAGATCGGACCCGAATTTTTCGCAATCTGTTTTTACCGGGAGTCAAGGTTGGCTTTAACGCGTACACTGCGATTTCTCTTCGATATTATGCTAAAGATGATAAATATAGATATAAAGAGCGACATCTAGAATGCTGGCAAGCGAACGAGTAGCTTGGAAATATTCGAAATTCGATTTCAAAGGTGAAGTCAGCGCATCGAGGTACCCCTTTTGATTTTAAATCTTTATGGAAAGGTAATTACGTACATACGTATATACGTATGTATATATTGGTTTTGAAATTGGAAAGACTGATTAAATTTCGCAATTTGCCAGTAGTTTAAGGGTTGCTGATAAAATGTGAAGAGCAAGGAGGGTTTCTTTCTATTTCTTTATTTCAATTTCATGAAACTTTTTCTTTATTCCAATTTTATTTCATTCTTCTCTCTCTTTGTCTTCCAAATAATCAATCTCTTCATTCTCTCTCTCTCTTTCTAACCTGACTCCCTTTCTGATATTTTATATTTTTATGGAAAGCCAATGTATCTGATCTGTTCAAATTAACTGAGTGGTCTATCTGTGAAGCACTGACACGTGTATATGTCGAGTCTCAAATTGGAAACACCGATTATACTTCGCAATTTATCAGCAGTTTAAGGGTTGCTATTAAAACGCGAAGAGCAAGAAGAATTTATTTCTATTTTCTTATTCTTACTTTATGAAATCTTTTCTTTATTATCCTTTTATTTTACTTATTTTACATCCCCTCTCTCTCTTTCTTATCTAAATAATATCCTCGGTCTCTCTCTTTCTAACCTGGTCCCCTTTCTGATATTATATATCTTTATAGGAAGCTATGATAATTGATTTGTTTAAATTAACTAAGTGATCTATATATGAAATACTGACACGTGTATATGTCAATTTTCAAATCGGAAACACCGATTATACTTCGCAATTTATCAACAATTTAAGGGTTGCTATTAAAACGCGAAGAGCAAGAAGAATTTATTTCTATTTTCTTATTTTTACTTTATGAAATCTTTTCTTTATTATCCTTTTATTTTACTTATTTTACATCCCCGCTCTCTCTTTCTTATCTAAATAATATCCTCGGTCCCTCTCTTTCTAACCTGGTCCCCTTTCTGATATTATATATCTTTATAGGAAGCTATGATATTTGATTTGTTCAAATTAACTGAGTGATCTATATATGAAATACTGACACGTGTATATGTCAATTTTCAAATCGGAAACACCGATTATACTTCGTAAATTGTCAGCTAGAACGAAGAATTTCTCTCTATTCTCTTGTTCCCTGTTCACAAAACCTTTTCTTTATTTCTCTTTTGTTTCACCCTTTTCGTTGCATTCTCTCTTTCTCTCTCATCCGAATGATCAATCTCTTCGTTTCCTCTCTTCCAACCCTCGCTACTTTCACTCTCCGCCCTCTTACTCTCCATTTTCCTACACCGTTTTCTGCACTCTTAACCCACTCACATCCTCCGACTTCTCTTCTTCGCTTTACCTTCTTCATTGACGCTAAATATTCCGTCCTTACAACCCTTTCTCCTCCCCCATTATCCTGCCACCTCGAAACTCTTTCACAACCCTTTCCACGGTTCCCTTCTCCACCCCCGCACTGTCTTTCTACGTCTCCTATAAAACGAAAGTCGTCGCGAAGGACGCGCGTGTATTCCATGGAAAGACCCCGAAGGATCTCCTCTCCTCTCCTCTCCTCTCTCTCTCTCTCTCGTTCTCCGGAGAATCCAGCGAAGCATATTGCGGATAGACAGTATCGATCTCCACGGGCCTCGTTGCGTCCTTCCTCGTCGAGCGTGTGCGAGCACAGTCACGCAGATGCTCGCGTTGTTGCTGCGAGATCCTCTTAAAACCGACGGTAAACTCCTGCTCGATTTTCAATCCGCCCACCTTCTCCAGTTCCCTTCGTCGTGGCTGGTCGCCACACCATCTTTCCGTCTTTGTCCAGTCACTCCACTTGCGTTTATTACCCTCCTGTCAGCGAGTATTTCTGCGCGTGTTTCTATAACGCGGTGGAAAAATCGGGGTTGAAATAAATAGAAATAAAACGAACGCTGTCTCGGGGTTTTTGGAAATCCACGAATTAGCACCCTGGGGTAGTAGATTAGGAGTATCCCTGCGCGTGTTTCCACAACGTGGTGGAAAAATCGGGGTAGAAATATCGACGAAGGGGTCTCGATTTATAAGGTCGGGGTACGAGGATTTTAATTGGGGTACGAGTCGCGCGAAGAGTATGAACGCAGTCCCAAGGTTCCGGAAATCCGCGAATTAGCACCTTGGGATAATTGATTAGGAGTATCTCCGCGCGTGTTTCCATAAGGTGGTGGAAAAATGGGGGATGAAATATCAATGAAGAGGTCGCGATCTGTACGTTCAGGGGTACGAGGATTATAATTGGGGCACGAGTCGCTCGAAGAACATAAACGGCTGTTCGGGATTCGCGGAAATTCAAGAATTATCAGCCTGGAGTAATTGATTAGACGTGTTTCGTATTTTTTAACACGTTAAACGCCACAGTTAGCCGTCATGCGGGCCCTGAAAGGAAAGCCTAGCGCCGGTCCCTAGGGACCGACGTGGCGTTTAACGTGTTAAATATTTTGCAATTATCACGTGATTCCATTAGTAAATTTTGTCATTATGAAAATACCGGTGATTTGTTATTATCAGGTTTGGGTCTCTTTACCATTTTGGAAAATGTTCAACGACTTTTCGAATTTCGAATTTCCAAGGATTTCCGCGAGCTTCCTTATTTCCCGATTTACCATAATCCGCAGGAGATTATTAGTTATAAGAACCCTGAAAAACGAGTGTAGGTTCGTCACTTGATAGCCACCCGACTAACGAGTTTCTAATTAACTAAGGATTTACGCGAACGGCGGTCTGGAAGTATCCTAATTGGGTACTAATATAAGTCCAAGTAATTCTGCTTCACAACCGTCTAATTAACGGTTAACTTTCTTCGTTTAACATACATACGTAGTATGCTCCGAAAGAACCACTCTGTACTCTCTCATAAAACTCTCTCATACGCCATTTCTCAAAAATCATCACCGAGAAATATTAAAAAATTAATTTCCCGTTTTCCCGTGGGAAATAATTCCTCTTAAAAAGCGAGAATTTATCTTTGCGAAATAACGAGACCGTTCTTTCCTGCGCTCGCGACCTCGTTAGGCGAGGCGCGAGGCTGGGGTGCGATAAATCGGCGCGAAATTCAAACGAGCGCGCGCGGCAATGAAAGGAAACTGCGAATCTCGGGAAAGACGCGAACTTCCCCTCGAGATTCGTATTCCCGTCGCTTAACCACATCTTGAGACAAACGGAGAGCATATTAATTGGTAATTAACCGAACGGATCGCTAATTAGAAAGTCCGATAATCGAGGGAAGGAGCCGAGCAGGGGTTGAACTCCCTGCTTCCGATCTAGGTGGCTCGTCAACGCGAGTCTGCACGCGTTTCGCGTTCTATAGCAACGGGAAGACCCTCGGAAACTTTCAATTACCTGCATATAATGTAAAATATCGGTCGAATCAAATTATCCCCGATAATAGGCTATTTCGCTTTTCAGAGAAATTTTTCGCGCAAGTTTAGCGAGTTACCGTACGATTACGTCGATTGCGATTATGGAACGGTAACGTTGGTATAATTGTTAAGGGAATTATCTGTCCTTCTGCAAAATTTCATCGTCGATGATCGATATCGTCGACATGGGGATAGAGATTCAATGATTTTCGCGGTATTTCCATTCACTGAATGTAATAACGGTTTATGGGAGCAGCGAAGTTGCATGCAGAGAGAATCATAATGAGTTTTCAAACTTACCTCGATACTGAAATAACCCCTGTCTACATAATCGCCGAGGAAGAGATACTTTGTCGTGGAGGGTGATCCGCCCACCTCGAACAACTTCATCAGGTCATAGAACTGTCCGTGAATGTCGCCGCACACTGGAACAGAAAGAAAAATATCCCAGTCAGATGGGTCTTCGTTGATAATAACAACCACGAGTCAGTGGAACGTTTAACCCTTTGAACTCGAGAGGCTACTCTCAGTTGCCATTTAATCAGATTCTAAAGATCGTTGTTAATTAATGTAGGACTTTTGGCTAAATCAATCCTATGCGGACAGAGATCTGCGCGTCTGACAAACGATAATTCTCTTTTTGTAATAAAACAGCTTTTATTTGACTAAAATATTACACTAAGTTTCTTACACGACTCAAATCTGCCTGCTTCTGACTTCTTCTCAATTCTTCTCTATTCTCAACTCGATTCTGACCGCCTCGCGCCCTTGCATCCTCACTTAACCACATGCGATGGAAAGACGTGCCACGCACGTCGAGATGCTTCCGTTACCGAAACACCAGCGACGTGTTACACACGTCGTCAGGCGATTGTTGCAGAAAGAAAAATGACGTGCGTGGCAAGTTTCTGCTTGCACTTCATCATCAGTTGATGCGTCCCTATATTCTCTTCTGGAACCCCCCGAACGCTGCCTAAACGCACCCCGAACTGATTTGCACTCGACTGTTCTGGCACCGTGAATTTCTTTGCACCGCAAGTAGTTAAAGCCAAATCTATCTCATTTCATACACATGCTCTCCTTCTCAGTCTTTCGACGTAGTCACAGACAGCACGACAAAGGATTTCGCGCTGAACGCCTGAGTGGACCCGATACTGCCCTTCGCTGCATCTTGCTCTTCAAGAAGTTGCCCAAACGTCTCCATGCACTCCTTTAGAAGTAAGACCGCACACCCATTCGTCTAGCTACTACTCTTAACGCTAGATTTACGGAAGCCGAAAGTTTGACCCGGGTCACGAAGCTATAAATCAAGAGAAGGTTAAAATTTCTGACAGCCTAATAAATTACTCCTTTCGGATGCTCTATACGTTTTCCTTTCTTGTGTCATAAATTTCGTTCACGATTTAATGTGATAGTCTAACTCGATTTTGAACCCCCTTTAAAGCTCACAATGGATATATGGACTCCGCGGGTCCGCCATGTTTAAAACGATTTAAACACGCGTTGCGATACAAGTTTTATTCATAGAAAATTAGTTCTTCTTTCACTCGCGTGACACTGCAAACAGGAACCGAGGATATTAATTTTAACGAATTAATTTCACCTCGAAAATCGGTTATTCCTAGCCGGAAAATGTATACTGTTATTATTATTATTGTATAATAACTATTATATATTATAACTATTACTATAAGGATTAAACTGCAATTCGCTGCACGTTCATCGACACTCGACATTGGTCTGTATGAAAAATTTCCCGTTCAACATTAAAAGCCGCATCTCGAAGCTGAAATTAAAATAAAAATTAAAAGCCAGGTTGAGCAACAAAACGCTCTCACGCTATTAAACCATCGCGCGCAACGAATCCGGCACGTCTCATCTTGCTTAATTAATTTTAATCCCCTTTTGCGCGACTCGAACCAAAATCCACCCTAAAAACCTCGTCCTCTGCCTTCTCTGAAATACCATCAACTTTTACGAACTCCTCCGTTCCATCAGCATACAAATTAAAATAACCGGCAGGGTTGCGCACAGTGGAGGTAGCAGAGGACGTTTCCGGAACGGCCGCCATGTTGCTCTGGGGAATTCAAGGTCGACCCGCTCGAAATTAACCAGCGCGATTAATCGAGCACGATTAATGCACGACTCGGCGTCGAACACGCGTACGGCGAATTTATGGCAACTCCGTAGGGACTGGGCTATAAACTTGTTTGCGAATGTTTCCATAGCGAAATTACCACGAGGACAAGCGACGCCGAGGCAACTTCCGGTCGATGCTGGCCGGAGAACTCGACGGAGACGCCACGCCACGAGGTTATTTCCTAACCGTTCGCAACTCGGTCGAAGGGAACGTGTCTATAGAGGATGAGCCGGATTTAAGACCATTTTTGAACATCAAAATGGTGGATGTCTACATTTGTTCACATCCTAGATCAATTAACGAAACTTATTTATTTTCCCGTTCACCGAAATGGCGGATGCTCACAGCTATCCTGACTTCAGATAGATTAATCGAATTATTCGACTAATTACGAGTTTTTAATTAGTGATCACTGACCTAGTAATTTGTAAAAATTTTATGAAATAGGAACCTAAGAAACATTACTGTTTCGTTCGCCAAAATGGAGGATGTCCTCATCTATACAAATCTCAGATTTATTAACCAAATTATTAAATTAATTATGAATTCTTTAGGATATAATCGAGGATGAGCTAGATTTAAGACCATTTTCGATGACCAAAATGGTGGATGTCTACATTTGCTCGCAACTTAGACTAATTAATGAGACTTGTTTAGTTTTCTGTTCACCGAAATGGCGGGTGTTCACAGCTTCCCTGATTTCAGACAGTTTAATGGAATTATTCGACTAATTACGAGATTTTAATTAGTGCTCCCTAACCTAGTAGTTTGTAAAAATTCTGTAGAATAGGAACCTAAAGAAACATTACTGTTTCGTTCTCCAAAATGGCGAATGTTCACATCTAAATTATTAAATTAATTATTAAATTAACTACGAATTCTTAATCAGCACTCTCTAGTTTAGTCATTCTTGAAAACAAAATTCTCTTACATTATGAATTCTTTGAAACATGAATCGAAAGAAATATTATTCTTCCGTTCACCAAAATGGTGGACGTCCACTTCTAACGAGACCGTAGACCAATTAAATTAATTCTTAAACAAATTACGAATTCTTAATCAGCACTCTCCAGATTAATAGTTTCTAATACCAAACTTCTTTCAGAACAAATCTAAAAGGATTTTACTTTTCTGTTCTCCAAAATGGAGGACGTTTACTTTAACCCAGACCTCAGACCAATTAACCAAATTATTAAATGAACCACGAATGATCAATCAGTATCTTCAAGCTCTTTAATTTCTAAAAACAAAATTTTCCCAAACATATAACTAAAAGAACTTTACTTTCCCGTCCACCAAAATGGCGGACGTTCGTTTTAATTCAAACTCCAAACCAATTAACCAAACCATCAAATGATCTGCGAATTCTTAATTAGTTCTTCCTAATTTAGAAGACCCTAACAACAAAATTCTCCAAATATAACATAAACATAAAAGAACTTCACTTTTCCGTTCTCCAAAATGGCGGACGTCCACATCCACCCAGATCCCAGGCCAATTAACCGAACTATTAAACCAGCAGCAACAAATTCTTACTTAATCCACCGTAACAACAAGATTCGTTCCTTCGAGAACCAAGATCCCGCAGCCTATATCCTCGAACCCAGCCAACGTCCACGTTTGTACACACCTCGACGCTCGCGAGGATAACCCCGGCACTTATCGAAGCAGGGAAAAAAGGAGCGGGACCAAAGCGAATTAACGAGAGCACAGAGGGAGCATCGCGCGATTACCATAATCCCGAGCCGTTTCGCGAGCAATTTCCATCGGTCGCCTCGATGGGCCTCTTAGCGCTGCTCCGCTTAGCAAAGCTTCGCGGCGATAATAAGGCCGAGGGCGCGGCCGCGAGAAATAACGAAGCGCGAATCCACGCGATCAAACTGCGGGAATACGCTTTGATCTCGCCTTCCGCTCGCTGTAATCCGCTCGACGCTCGCGGACCACCCTCTTCTCTTCGCCGCGCGTTCCTCTCTGCGAGTCGCGGGTAATATCGTCGGAAAAATTGCGCGGATAAATGAATGAGTGGAAGACTGGGAATAAAAGACTCGCGATTTTCATCCTTGAGCGAAGAAAGTTCTTCGCGCGACTTGAGAAAATAGAAGATCCCGAGCTATGTGATCTTTTTCCTTCTTTCTTTCATTTATTTATTCCTCCACTTCTTTGGGAAAGATAACGAGTGTGTTGGAATTTTAAATAGTTCTAATGAGAATTTAATAGGAAAACAGTACCTAGCTTTGTCTCTAGAACTGATAGAGACACTGGATAATTTTTTCGAATTTTCTTTATCACTTGGAGGTCTCATTTCCAAATTCGGATGCTCAAACGAATTATTTATTACTCAATTTTCTTGGGAAAAATAATAATAAAGGTGCTGGAATTTTAAATAGTTCTTGTGAGAATTTAATAGGAAAACAGTACCTAACTTTGTCTCCACAATTGATAGAGACATTGGATGATTTATTTGAATTTTGTCTATCACTTGGAGGACTCATTTCCAAATCTGAATGCTCAAACGAATTATTTATTACTCCATTTTCTTGGGAAAGATAATAATAAGGGTATTGGAATTTGAAACAATTCTAATGAGAATTTAATAGGAAAATAGTACCTAGCCTTGTGTCCACAATTGGTAGAGACACTGGTCAATTTTTTCGAATTTTATCACTTGCAGGTCACATTTCCAAATTTAGATGATGAAACGAATGCTACTGTAGTTAGCAAATCGGTAGCTCGCGAGAGAAGCAGGTTAGAGTCGAGTGTCGTGTCTGGATTTATCGAGAACTGTAAATGTCACCTGTCCGATGTTCGCCTAACTTTCTAAACGTTGCTCGCACCAGTCTCGATACTTTACTCATATTTCATGATAAAACTTCGAGCTACTGCACCGAAACTCGCGTACCATGAGTTCTAGACCTTATTCGGGACACCTTATCCAAGAATCCGCGTCATTTAAATACCGTGAAATCACGTTGCAGTGGTAGCGATGAGTAGAACCAGGATTATTATTATACGCACCCCTTCCTTGTGTCCATCTATCTGCTACCTATTATAGCAAGTAAGCCATAAGGATACCAACCGACAGCACTGTAGGAATCACAAAGAAACAACCGTCATAATAACCACCGTGGAAGACTGGGAGCCCCCCAGAATATAGCTTGACAATGGTTCCTAGTCCCTACTAAAGTCCCGTAAAAGCAACTATTTCAGCTTCAGAAAAACCCACGAGTTCTCAGATACCCAGAAAAGAGTCCATATCGCATAGTAGATACCTACACACGCGTCCAA